TGGACCAGTGATCTGGCCTGCTCTAAGGCTGCTCCCTGTGCTCTTGAGAGAGGGGGCGGGCGGTTGAGGCGAGACTGAGGGAACTGGATCTCTCCAGCCTGGAGAAGAGGAGACTCAGAGGGGATCTGTTGGTGACATACAGGTATGGGAGGGGATGTCACACGGAGATGAGGAGAGACCTGTTCTCCCCTGCAGAGCAAGGCAGGACGTGCTCCAATGGAGGCAAGCTCATGGAACCAAGGTTCAATTTGGATGCCAGGAAGCACTTCCTGACAGTTGGGACCCCGAGGGTGTGGAATGGGCTTCCATGAGAGGTCATTGAGGCCCCATCAGTGCGGGTGTTCAAGGACAGGCTGGACGTCCACATGGTGGGCATGTCGTAAGCTGAGCCGGCTGGTGCCAGAGGTCAGACTAGATGGCCCGGCAAGCCCCTTCTGACTCGCTCTGTTTCTATGTTTCTTAGTTCAGTGGTAGCATGCATGCTCTGCTGGAAGAAAGGTCCTATGCTCTGGCAACAGGAAACATTATGTGAACTGATACAAAAACTGATCCACTCCCCCTTCTTTATACACAGACCACCTGTTTGGAGATGGCTGTGCGAACAGCCATCTTGTGTGGCTGCAAAATATGGGACATAAGTGCAAATTGTATGTGCATTTATCTGTCAGTAATTGGTTGGTTCCTGTTTTTGATTGCCTGGGATAGTAAAAAAATATAAAATGGTAGTGGGCCTTATTTCCTTCTTGACTCCAAATGTATCCATGTATTGTTTGGCTTCATCATCCAAATAAGCTCACAACATGCACTCGCGTGTGTATTATCATGTATATCCACGTTTTTTGTCTCCGTCAGTGGCCTCTTGAGGCTTGCACGGGAAATTGGCATCATCTCATGGCAGAGGGAATAAAGGAGGACTTCGGATGGCTTTGGATGGTCCCTTCTGGCTGAAACACTCCCCTGTTGGACAATAGGGAGATGTTGTCTCAGCAGGGAGCTAAAGCCAATGAGAGCCTGACATTTGCAACCAGGCGAATATGCTGGTCAGCTCTGACATTCATGGGGAAATTTACTAGGCTGTTAAAATGGTGTCACCTGAGTCCTGCTAGTGGCTTGTCTGTGTTCTCCCTTATCATCTGTTCAGGACATCAATACTAACATTTGTTAATCCAAGAAAATAAAAAGAACACAGTCTTTGCTTTCCAGAGCGTTAATATCTGCAAAACGGACACTGTTAGAAGTGCAGGAGCCTAAACGATTTACTTAATGCTCCATTCTGAAATTGGTGAGGCGAGAAATGTATTTGGGAAGTAATCTGATCATTTCCCTATTAAAATTCTGCCAGGTGTCCTTTAAAGGAAGGGTGCCTCAGAATGAAGGAAAACTAACATGGATGATAGAAGGATTTTACAAAAATAAAAACAGAACAAAATCTAACATAATATGCTTCTCCAGAGGTTCATTGCATTGCAGTTGTGTTAGCCTTTGAGCTTTAAATAAAAATGCCGCATTTTTATTAAAAGCTGATGGAAGGAGGAGCTCCAACCATTAATATGGCGAAGGCTTCAAAGTGCCTTCCCTGTATTTGGATTCTGAATTTCCAGGTTGCAAAGGCCCAGCTTTTCTCATGTATTGCTTAGCCGTATTGGTCCTCTTTGCACCCACCACCCATTTAAACAATATTAGGTCATACTGCATGGGGGAAAAGAAAAAACGGGCATAAAAGGCAACGTCAAGTTGCCCAGCTTGTGGATCAGTATATTGGCTTGAAGGAATAGTTGGGATCCTGACCAAAGAGTGCTAATGCAAGGGCTGTGTTTATAGACTTCACTCACCCGGACAGGAGTGAAGTCTATAAACTTATGTGCCACATAAAGAAAATGCTGAAAGGAGAAAGGGGTTTTCCTTGTGCTCTCATAACTCTGGACCCTGGCAGTGGTTCAGCAGAGTCAAAGCTCAGAGGGCTGCAGCCCACACACTTTTGTTTCGTGGGGAGCCTTGGGTCATCTGCCTCTCCACCCCTGCAAATTGCCTGTTCCCCCTGAGCTTAGCTGCAATCCTCCAAGTAGCTTGGGAGAAAGATTTTCTCAGCAAAAGTCCCCTGCTGCAGAGCAAAGCCTTTGGGAGGGGCTCCGTCTTGAATTGGCAATTAGGACCCATCAGCTTTGCAAAGTATTGGAGGTGAAGCCTGTTGGAACCAATTTATTGCTACAGACCTGCACAGCTGCATGCGGTTTTCAACTCTCCTTGGAGGTGTGTCTATGGGGGTTGCCACTACTGGAATCTGGGCTTCCCAATGAGGAGAACTGGCTGGGGATTCAGGACATAGGGAAAGGAAGAATCTCTTCATCCGGCACAGCGTGAACCTATGGAATTCTGTGTCAAGGTTCAAAGTTAGCTGTGAACGGAGAGGGTTCAATGGTAGTCCACTGGCTGCTGCTCATAATGGCTGCTTCTGCATTTGGAGACAGCGAATGCTAGTTCATGCAGAACAACAGCCAAAGAAGGCTATTGTCCTAGTGCTGTTCCTGGGACCTTTCCAGGTGCTGTAATGCAAGCAGGGATCTCTGTGCTCAAATCAGATGATAATCCTTGCCTCAAATACAGGGCTAACTGGATGGCTCCCCGAGGTGTATTTTGGCTTGGGCTTTGACAGGATAGAACCCCTGGGAGTTGCAGTCCCTGGACAGCATCAGGGTCAGGAAGGCAGGGAAGGCAGAGCACATGTTCTGCACCCCAGGTTCAGTCCCCAGCAGATCCAGGTAAGGCTAGGGAGGAGTCCTCCCTGAACACCTGGACAACTTCTGCCAGTCAGTGCTGGGCTCTTTAGACTAATGATCCAATACAGCACAATGCTCCTTCCAGCAGAGGTCACTGTTTCCAGTGCTGGTGGGGCCACTTATTCACTCTGGGCTTTAGCCTGAACTATTAAGGAGCTGTCCATGGTTCTGAATGCCAAATCCTCAAATAGGAAGCTGCCAGTTGAGGCTGTGGCACCCCACTCCAGTTCTAACTCAATGGTTCTGAATCATTTGGATTTGGTGGTCAGCACCATGGATAGTTCCTTTGAAATTCCATCTGGGACTCGGAGCTTCAGCCCCAAGTGGCAGTGACCTCTGCTCTTAAGAAGAGCCCATTCCAAATATGTGTGCTAGCCCTTACTCCACACAGCCATCATCCTCCTGTCACGATCCTCAATCCGTACATGTCTTCACCCATTATTATGTATTTTTGGAGGGATTATGTCCCCAGAAAGGTCAGAATTCTACAGCCCCTGCTGTGTGCAGATGATGGCATTTGTCCACAGAAGAGCAGGTGCTCAGAGAGAGTCTGCAGTTAATGCGTAGGATTTCAGAAGCCTGAAGTTAGGCTGGCTATGGATAATGGGAGTTGTAGACTTCTTTACCTGAAGGACACCTGATTGGAGAGGAGTGCTCTAGAATAGCACCACTGGTCTTTCCGGAATTTTCCATTAGCTAGGGAGAGGCTTTTTCTACATGATGTGACTTTCTGCATGCCGTGCCGAAAGATTAAACAGAAATATAAAGCAGCACTGTGGTTTATTTCCTTTGATGTATATATCTAGAAGACATTTCCATCCCAGTTTGTGTGCTGAAATGAGAGAGCCCCCTGTAGAAATGCAGAAATAAAAATAGAAAAAGCTGGAGGGGAGGGTTTTCCCAGCTACACAAACTCCTCGGCAGCATCTGAAAGCCGCACAGGTGTTGTTGCTCAGATTGGCATGTCAATTCCAAGGAAACGTCTTTGCTTCATTATCCATCAGGACCTGACCTCCAAACAGAAAGGCGTGCGACTCCCAGTGAAGTTAGCCACATTGCATTTGTATCAGGTGTCTTTGCAGGGGTTTACCTGGTGCGTGCAGATAGATGTTTGCCAAGCAAAAAGAGGACGGGCTAAATGCCCCATCCATTTCGCTCCATGGGCTACCTTCACAGATCAGATTCTCGCTCCCTGTTATTGACACAAATGTGTGATTCGTGCTAAAGCCAAGGCATTTCCTAGCAGAGATGCACAGGATAACCCTGTAAAGATGCAAGGATACAATTTCAGCCTGGAGCCTCCACGGTCCTCCTCCAGGCATTCCTGCCAAAAGAACTTAAGCCACCTGGTAGTGGCATAAGCTTCCGAGAGAGGCTCACCAGGTACCTGTATTGTATTTTGCTTTTTTCTGGTACTAGGGGAAGGCCTCCTTATTTCCCATGCATTCAGGTCCTTTAGTCTCTGTTGTTTTAAATCCTGACTGTATTTTGTACTGCTTCTAACTCTGACTTTAACTTTGGCTTCTATTCTACACTGCGGTTTTACATCCATAATTCTGTATTTTATGTTGGGTTTTGAGTGGTGTGACCCACCCAGAGAATTGCAGCTATTGGGTGGCACAGACATGACATGTATACATACATATTTAACCAGGAATAAGTGATACTTTGTCCAGTGGTGCTTCCTCCCTGCTTCCCCAAGTGAATACAATTAGATATGCAGAATAAACTGCAAGCACCACAGAGAGCCAGTATGTGTAGTGGTTAAGAGCTCGGGCCTGGGATTCAGGCCACCTGGGTCCTAGTTCCTGTTCAGCCAGGAAGCCAGCTGGATGACTATCCACTGCATTTTCCATGTCTGCTTTGCCTTACATTTTCTGTCATGTATTTTTGTATCTTTCCCTGGCTGGTGATTTCTTACTTTGCTTTTATGCTTCTAAAAGTTTTGCCAGTGTGTTGCATTTTAGGCTTTTAAGACTTGTGAACCACCCAGGGAGCAGTGGAAGAAGCTCAGTATTATACTGATTGAACAGGTAGGGAAGAGACTTGCTTTTCTCAAGAGCTTTCAGGCAGCACTGTCCTCTATGGGCACGCAAAATAATCTCGCGTGTGCATTGCTTGTTTCAGGATGGCGGATTTGCCGTTACGGCAAAGGGCGCAACGGCAAAGCTCTCTTTGCGTGCTGTACAAGTTATGAGAATGTTCCTTCCCCTTCCTTCCCAGGAATGTCAGTTCAGATGGAGCCGAAGCCCGCAGGAGGCTCCGTGAGTGTGATGGCTTGGTGGATGCTCTCCTTCACGCACTGCAGTCTGCGGTGGGCAAGAAAGACACCGACAACAAGGTGAACGTTCATTGTTTGATGTTTGGCCATTTGTGGGGGGGGGGAGACACGGGGTGCACTCAAGGTGACTGATCATCTAATCTCAGGATGGGGTGCGGGAGGGTGAGACTTACCTGGAAATGTTTCATTGGCGTGAAAAACTGTAGTATTGGCAGGTGTTTAGGAGATTACCAGCCATATAAGAGCAGGGTTGTCAAAACTCTTTGGGAGGAGGGCTGAATGCAATTAAAGAGAGGCTTCAGGTACCACATTCCCACAGCTGCTGCACCAAAGCCAGAGGGGGGATGCGGTCCAGTTCCAAAGAGGCAGGGCCCCTTCGCCCCTTCGCCCCTTCTCTTGCTGCCGCATTAAACCGTTGCAAGTGGTGATGGCTGTTTGCTCGTCTGCTTCTTTCTTCTTTTGCCTTGGAAATGGCTTGGCCGCAGTCCGTGGAGAATTGCGTCTGCATCATGAGGAACCTCTCGTACCACGTCCACAAAGAAGTCCCAGGAGCTGACAAGTTCCAGGAACTCGAAGCCAACCAGCCTGGAGGGCTGGGAGGGATGCAGAAGAAGAAGAAAGACGACGCGGGCTGTTTTGGTGGGAAGAAGGCCAAAGGTGGGTAGGTGGCCGCAGGCACGCACTTCAGGAGATGCTCTTGCAAACGAGGGGGATTGTCCGGGGACCAGTTTTGCCCTAGATCCCAGCATGTCTCATCCCACATGGATGCTGCCCTTTTGAGTCCCCAGTCTGTTTGGCATTCCCAAGATCAAGTGCAGTGGTACCAGTGCCAGTGTGGTCAAATGATACAGGAGTCCCCCTGCAGCCCTCCCTGGTCGCACATTGCAATGAGGGCAATTGCTGCCTGCACCTACCATGAGCTGACAACTCTCTGGCGCAAAAATAGTTCGACCCCCGAGTTCAGCCATGGGCAATTTGTGACTGTCCAGATGTTTTGGCCATTGACACCTAGCAAGCCACACCATTGGCTTACATTGACCAGGGCAGATAGAATTGCAGGCCAGAGTGATGGGAGGGCCGCCCTCTGCCCATCCCTGATCTTGTGAGAAGCCACATTCTTCAGCTCTGGGGCCGATTTTGCAAAGTTGTCCTTGGAATGGCTTAGCACACGGATCTGAAATCTGAACCTTTGTAAAGCCCTGAATACATGAAGCTGCTGCGATTCTGGTGGCTGAAGCAAAATGAACCGCCCTTCACACTTTCACCCCCTAATTAGAACTCCCCTGTCCCTCCCACGGGAATGCCCTGTGGAACGGCCTTGTGTCATTCCATAGCATTGTTCCAGTACACATTCTAGGAATTTCAAATATGAGAGTTGGAAACACAGGGACCTGGGCATAGTAACTCTGAGCGCATCCGCTGGAAACACCCTCAAAATTCCCCCCCTGCAATATGAAACAGGGAGAGAGCTTTGCTTCCCATTTCGCCATATCTTCCCCCACAATAAATTGAAGTTGAACTTCCACAGAGTCAGAAACGCCTTCCATCCATAATCTCAAACCCTACTTTTCTGCATGCCACACGTCACTTTTTGTAGCAGGATGATGGGACTGTATCACCTGTTCGTAGTTATTTGCGGGGGAAAGATCATGGATAGATACGGAGCTGTGCTAATTTAATAATACGTGAAAATGTTTATCGTGATGGTGATGCTGATGCAGTTTGTGCTTTGGTTGTCTCGTTGTCACGTCTGTGGTGGAGACGCCCTTACAAAAACATTTGTGGGGAAATGGAGTCCCAGGAATAAAAGGAAATAGAGAGTCCTTGGGGAATTGATCTGTCAATAATTACTGGCTATGATCACCAAATGAAAACTCAACTTCAGAGGCAGTGTATCTTTAAATGCCAGGTGTTTGATAGGTGGGGGTTTCTTGGCTAAAGAAATACGGTTGCTTCCTTTTTGAAATCTATGTTCTAGCTCTCCTGACGGAGATGTAAAGCTTCCACTAAAATCTTATAACATGGAGTGTATGTCCAAAGGCCAGGAGGCAGGGTGCCTCCAGTTGTTGGCAAACAGTGTTATTTCTGCAGATAAGCTTGGTTGTTTTTGTATGGAAGAGATAGATTTAATAAGTTTAATGTTTGTCCTGCTCCTAAGGGCGGATAAAAGGCGATGGTAGCGTGAAAAGAAGCCTGACAAAGAATCCTATGATAGTTCATTAGTTCTGACCATTAAATGTCAGCCCCAACATCTTACAGCATTTTCAAAAGATTTTCAGGCCTCCGAAAGGTTTTTCTGAGCATCTAGGCGTCTCTTTGAGGGTTGGTCAAACATTTCAATTTCAGTTTCTCATTTCTTTAACCTCAAGTTCAATTCATCCCAAACATTTGAGGGGGGGGGAAATTTGCATGAAAACAGGTGTGCGTTTTTGTGTATATTTTCCCCAGTGCATGCATTTTTGTATATGTATCTTCACAAGCAATTTTCCTGCTGAAATGCATTCGTAAACATTACTTTTGTGAGGATATGCAAAGTCTGAAATGAGGTAAGTTCCCACTAAAATTCTCCCGCATCTGTATGCTGGGTTCTCCAAGCCTACCCTGTAGGATCAGCTCCTTCAGCTTGAACAGCACTCAAAGATCTGACCCCTGTGTCCCCCTCCCCCCGCCCCTTCCCCAACTGTAGCAAAAGCTGCACCGTTCATTCTGCTGGTTGTACATTTGGATTTATGGTCTTGGTTGCTTCCTTTATGGGTGGAACCTAATGGGATGGGATGTAAGTAGATCTTTTACTTGCTGCCAACACCCCTTGCAGACTCAAAGATGCGACAGGCACATATTGTTGGAATAAACAGCTGCAGAAACCGGAATGCTTAGCCCAGGATGCCAGTCCTTGGACAGATGTCTTTGTTCTGCATTGACAGAAGGGCTGTATTTATAGTTCAGACCCAGGCCTGTTGACTTCCAGAGCATGCTACATTCAGCAGGCCTGACTTCCAGGTCTCTAGGCGGGCACGCTCCATTCCAGTGCCCCCACTCCCCACCCCTGAACGCATGCACAGCAGCTAAAACAGTGAGCACAGGGCTGTAGAAATTGAACACAAAGCAGAAGCTTTGTTTACACCACACAAACCCAAAGTGTTTAAAATTAAATGCGGTGATATAATATAATACAGAGGGAAAGACAACAAGATAAAATGCCAGCCTGAGGGGCTTGAATGCGACAGAAACAAACAGAAGCAGTTGCAAAAAGCAGCCAGAGCCCTTTTGAATTAAGCCAGCTAATCTGGAGCAACAGGTTGGAGCAGTGCGGGGGGGAGGGGCTGAGATCCTCGCCCTGCCCCCCCCCCTTAATGATCTCAAGTCGATAGTGCCCTCTTGCGCTGACCCTCCGGCACACGCTTGCATCCTGGCTGTGGGAGTACATGCCCAGCAGGGCGGCCATCTTCTCCTCTCCTCAGTCAGGGGAGACCCCGGCTCGTAGGGGCAGCGTGTCCACTCCGGAGTTCAGGCTGAACTGCAAAGGAGAGATCCAAGGAGCTCTGCCTGTCCACCTCCCAGGCCCGACATTAGTTCAGCGTCATGAATCACTCCTGAAAAGCCCAGGCCAGGTCCTGCGGTGCACATAAAGCTCTGTTGACACGGATCCACACAGCCTCTGCTGGTGCTTCTTCCGGGGTTCCCACAGATGGTTAGTCGGCCACTGTGCAAATAGGAGGCTTCAGGACAGGCCGTTGGTCGGATTCAGCACCGTTCTTCCTCCGCAGTTGCGTTCTCTGAGCTCCATAAACTTTTTCCGGAAGAGCAGCCTTAATGGCTGACATTTCTTTGCAAACACATTCAGTCTGAATTTTAATCTAGTACATTAAAAGAAGCCCTGTTGCCACCACAGCATTTCTTTAAATTGTAAACGATGGCTGAGCGGCTTTTAATTGTCCATCACTTCTGACCTACCCTTTCAGGCACCAGGTGTGTTACAAATGTGTTCTACACAGAAAGGGGATTAGCTCTTCTCCTCCTCTTTTTCTCCTCCTCCGAGGTGGCTTATTTTTCTTTCATGTACATCCACGCAAATTCGTGCTTTTGACGTTCGTGGCACCTTAGAGAAATTTGGCTTCCAGATCAAATTAAGACATAATAGCCAGCCTGCGCAAGACGCCCCTAAGTAATCCTTCATTTTAATGCTGCTTATGTTCCCTTTTCAGTTAAACTCCGGAGCAGGGAGAGTGCCGGGGCCTCGAGTCTCCTGCCCTTGCAGGGATCGCACCAGGGGCCTTGACTTCCTAGCCATATTTCTCCTCTTGCCACTGGGCGTAACAAGGTGCGGGCAAGCAGGCTCTGGGTATCTTTAGCCTTCAGGCGTTTCAGCCTACCTGACTGGCACATCCTCTCCATCCTGCTTCCATGCGGAGAGGTAATTCAGATGGAGGGCGATCATGCTGGCCTGCTTGGATTCAAGAGCATCCGCGTGCAACGGGAGTGGGGAACCTTTCGTGCGCGGCCCCCGTCCGACCCAAGGGACTCCAGAGCTGGCCTGAGGATGGTTGGACACTCTCGTGGGTCATGCGCATCTCCTCCCTAAGCCCGTCCTCTCCCAAAGGCTCCCGGGTGCTTGGAGGGAAGGCAGGGGAGCAGATGCCCACCGTCCCCCAAGCCTCTGCCTCTGCCCTGCTAAGCAAAGTCCTCATCACAGGTAAGCCTCTCGTGCACGGAGACTCAAGCAGGACCGGATGGCCTCACCCTGCCGCATCACACACCCCGCCAGCCTCACTCGCAGCGCCCGCGTGCTCAGCAGGGACGGGTGCCGAGGCATTTCCGCGCACACGAGCGGTTGCTCGCTCACAGGTGTCCTGTGGACGCTGCCACCTGCACTTGTGCCCAGGCGCTTGGATAGCAGCTGGGCCCGCACTGGTGTGGGGCAGTGGGGTGGGGGGGATGTGGCGGGCAGGGTGAGCGAGCGCAGCCTGGCTCCTGCCTCCGTGTGTGGCAGGAATTTCTGCCTGGAGCTGGCTTAGGACTAGCATGGCCCAGACGTCGGTGCAGCGCTTCTGCGCCTGCTCTTGGATAGGCTAAGCTTGTCCAGATTAAACCAGCGGCATGTTCTGTGTCCAGTTCAATTCGGTTTGGATAGCTGCATTTGCCGTGTGGGAAAGGAACTGGGGTGTTGAACGGCAGCACATTTGCATCTGCGGTGCCTCCCAGGTCTCTTAGCTAGAGCCCCCATCCCCTCCAGCTAGCAGCAACCGCAGTGGCGAGGGCCGATGGGAACTGTTCTCCGACTCACAGGCGGGGCTCTAGGCTGGGAAAGGCTCTGTTAAAAGCCTAACATTTACCTTGGGTGTTTTTCCAGCAAGTAATTTTCACGATTACCGTGCAGTCTTTGAATCTGGACAAAAGCAGCTTTCCATACATTGACCACAGCCAGTTACAAACCTTTCTTCAAAGCTTTCTGGTCCACAAGGAGCTTGACTCAATGGGGGACAGGAAGGAATGCCCCCAAGGCTTGCAGTAGAGTGAAGAGGACACAAGCACCCGTAATCCAATATCTTGGAATCTTTGCACACCTGCTGGACAAGTGTTGCTCGAAAGAGACAATAGAGTGTGAGAGTCACATTGTCCATCTAGTCCAGGCTGATCTCTCTGGAATGACACACACTTCTAGCCTAATCTGTTCCGAGCAGGCCGGGTGTCTTCCTCGCATCCAGGATGTAATGCAATACAAACATGTCTGCATTGAGCCCGGCGTATTTCTGCCCCCCGCCCCAGGTCTTTGTAAGCAGCTGCTCCTCTCCTGGTTGAACCTTGAGCGAGTGCAATTCTATCCCCCGGGTGAGCACGTGTCATTCCCATAAAGTTCCAGGGGTGCATTTTTAAATGTGTCAAAGAACGAAGGAGAAGCAGGCAGAAAGCACAGGGCTCCTGAAGCAATAACACACATCTCCGTTCACACTGCCACTGGGGACTCACAAGATAGTGTGCCCCTTTGCCCAGTGATATTCCTGTGCATCCGAATAAACAAACAAACCTAGAAGGGCAATGGGAAAGCTAGTCCAGCATAGTTTCCCCTGGAATTCTGGAGTGTTTAAAAGGGTGAAGGGACTTTTTAAACCTCAAGTGTATATGCAATTAGATAAGGCTCTACCTAATGTGGTGCAGGCTCAACCCACCTTCCACCTCCGGGAGAACTAAGCCGAAATATCCTAGATCAGAGTATTATGAGTCTTGATCTTTTCATTCCATAAAAGCAGTGATGTCCAGCAAAAGGTATCCCTCTTCCAAATACGTCTCTTGGGCAACTCCAGTGAATTGAACAGAAGCAGCACGCAGAGACAAACCCGGTGGTCTGTTTGCCACAAGGGAAGGCTGACTGTAGAGGCTGTTTGGCTCACAACAATTGTTCACTTTGTTTCAATTCCCAGTGGTGTAGACGCTGTCCTGCCTCTCACCGCATCCCCCAAGTCCCCTTTGGTGTGTTGCTGCCAGATGAAACAGTGTGTCAAACTACAGGGATGTAGTCTTTGGGGGGCTGAAGAGGGGAACCCCAAGGTCATCCATCTCCCCTCACTCCCGGCAACATATTCAGAGCTGCTGTTTGCCTATAACACTCTCTGATTTTTAATTCTGTTTCTGGTGTGATTATTCATCTGTTTTTCCTTCCTCTGAAAACCCTTTTATTGGTTTTTGTTCTTTTTTCCTTTGCCTGCTTTTCTGGTTATTAGAAGAGTGGTTCAATCAAGGTGAGTCTTTCTCAACTTTTTCTTTGTCCACATTTATGTTCTGCCATCGCTACAGTTTCCTCCTCTTTGGGGTGGGAAGAGAGGTTGGCTCCCTGATTCCGCCCTTCTCCAAATCTCGGGCTGCATTGATTCGGTCAAGCGCTGCCCTGCTTGTTCAAAGCCAAGGAATGCAAAGAGGCTGTACTGAGCTTTGGCTGGGATTGCGTTCCTTGTAGAGTACAGAGGGGCATAGCTGCCTTACACAGAATCCATCCCCTGGTCTCTGTAGCCCAATCTGGCCAGCAGTGGCTTTCCAGGAATTCAGGCAGCGTTGTCACACCTGTACGTGGGGAGGCGACGAACCAAACCTTCACGAAACCTTTTGCATGTGAAGCATGAGACCGAGCACTGAGATGCGGCCCCTTCCTAGCTCAGAGCAGGGAGTGCAAGAAAGGTGCATTAGGTGAACTGGTCTGCAAATTCCCCGGAAATGCCGTGCCGCATCGTCTTGGGCCTCTGGAGTAACTTTGCTCGTCCATCGCTTCTCCATGTCATCCGCCTGTGTCGCTGACTCAAGGACGCTTCCGTTCTCCAACCCGGGACACCTGTGGGACCAGGCAGTACTCCAGACGTGCGACAAGAGGAAGGGCTGTCTGCTTGCACTTCTCCTTTCCACGCTCACAGGCCGTGCTCATCCCTTTATGGTGGCGAGAGCATGCTTCGGCCAGCTTCGTTGGCAAGGGGCCGGTTAGATGTTTGCGAATGTGGACTCCAAACACGGGTTGTGCATTGTTCATTTTGCTTCTAACATTTCAATCCTACTCCAGCCTGAGGAGCTCAGAGTGTGGCGTATGGGGCTCTTTTTCCATGCCCCTTTGATCTTTACAACACCCTGTAGGGTTGGTTAGGCGGAGAGATCCAAGATAAACTTCCTGTCCAATCCAGGTGGCACAGGGATAGGGAATGACCATGGGGAATCGGCAGCGATGGTGGGAAGACCAGATCTTGTCCACCCTGGACTTAAGAAATGGACTCTTTATTCTTACTTTTATATTTGTAATTGAAGTGCTCCATCCCTCCCTGCTAATTTTTACTCACTTGTTGTCCAAGGAGAACAACAGTTCCTATGCTGAGAGGGGGATGCATTTAGCGGCCTCTTATTTGAGAAAAGGTGGAGTTAACAGCGCTTTTAATTTCACAGCTCGAGAGACTGCAAACCGTTTATTATACAAGAAACCTTCCTGTCATGCAGCCCTTCCCCTCCCCAAAGACTGTGCCACCCCGGTAGCTAAATCCCCCAAAGCAGGCCTTGTCAGTAGTCATCTTAAAAGCTGTCTTTCTCCCACCAAAGAGTTTGAGCTGCATTTCTTCTCTGGAAGTGCCTCCTTCCCCTTTGGGATGGGCGCCTGGGTGCTGACAGACATCGCTGAAGGTGCGGGAGGAGGAAGAAAGGGAGTAGGGAGATGAGAGCATTATCAAGACAGATCTGGCATTCTAGACATGCTGGCAGCTGTTGAGTGCCAGAGAGATTGTGCAACTGCCTTTGCGGTTCTCTGAGGTGGGAAGGGGAGGGAAACAACCTTGCGTTTCCCCGTGCATTTCTTGAGGAAGCCAAAATACCGGCTGCTGCTCTTTTGAGCTCAGCGGCTCCTTCCTTGAATTGGTGACGCGGGTGGGTCAGTTGAGACCTCCCAGGACACAGCCATGTGCCTGATTAGAGAGATGGAAGGCCTGTGCCTTCCCGCTTTCCCCAGTGAACCCCTCATGAGCCTTTTTCTGTCTAAATATGCATCACATTCTGCCCATAAATGATAATATGTGTCTTTATTTCACCATGTGCTGAGTCAGCCCTGCAATTTGATTTAGTGGATTTGGTGCTTGGGAATGCCAGAAGTTCTTTGGATTATGGGTGTGGGGAGCTTCTGCCTCTCCAGCTGCTTTCTTGCCTACAGCTCCCATGCTCCTCTGCCATTGACTATGCCAGGCCAAACTCATGGGAGCTGTAGGCTTAAACAGCTGGAGAGCCTCCAGTTGACCAGTCTTGCTTTAGAGGGTGATGTGCATTCACTTACTTCGAGGTGGGCAGCTTATATCCCTCCAGACCTTGTTGGGCTGCATCTCCCATCATCCTTAGCCAACATAGCCAGTGGGTGGGGGATGCCGGATGCTCCAGTCAACAACATCTAGAAGACTACATGTTTCCCACCCCTGACTTGCTTCAAGCTAGTCCTCCTGCCCTTGGTGCTCTCCTTTTCATTCTGCTTCTTCCCCAAAGCTTTGCTTTGACAGCGGTACCAACTGGATGGACCTTCCTTCCATGTGACCGTGCCTTGCACCAGTTCTGAGACAGTGTTGCTCTGGGAATCACAGGCGGGGGACCAAGCACAAAGATCTTGCTTTCAGGCCCAGCTTCTGTCTGGCCCCTCAATTGGACATGCTGAAATTTTGTTTTTCTTCAGCAAGCAGCAGAGCTTGTCCTGTTCAGCACCCCAAGCAAGTCCATCCAGGCTGACAATGTTTGCCGGAGAAGTGCTTGCAGTCAGTTGGCCCAGGTTTCCCAGCTTGAGTTCATGCAAATTTTCCTGAAGCAGCTCTGCTTGCGCCCACAGAGGAAAGTTGCACAGATTAGGGAATGGAGGGGAAATTGGGCAAACCTCACATTGCTCAGTGCGTGCAAGTTTCCCGTGCGCACAGAGCAAGTGGTGGTCACAAAGACGAACAGGCCCAAGCGAAGTGCGGAGAGAATCCTGACCATCTCGATGATTCCTCCTCCGCCCATCCCTAGTCTAGGTGGGCCCTGCAGGACTCTGTTTGCGTTCGTATTGTTTGCAGAGGTCCTGCTGCAGATGCTTCCCCTGAGGGCAAGCAGGGAGGATGCTGCATGCCCGGAAAGGGAGCAAGAGTAGTCTGAGAAGAGGCCGCAGGGCGCTGGATCCTCCAGCCGTTCCTTCTGTGCAAGAGGAACTGTGAGGCATTTCTCTGCATGCGGTGCCAGGCTCTGTGCAAAGAATGTGAAGTCGTATTGATTAGCGCTCGCTTTGTTTTGCATTAATGCCCCTTCCAGTGCCTTGCAGTCGGCCACATAGCCTGAAGTTCGTTTAACCAAATGTGGATTGCACTAGTGCGGAGGATGAAGCCATTTGTGCGGTATTGTCACAAGGAGTACCTGTCCTTGAGTCCCACCGGGAATGAAGGAGTTGCCAGAAGAGCGGAACCTGCTGGGGGTTGGGAGCACAGGAAGAGAACTCGGAGGCCGAGACTCTCTGTGCTCCCTTTAAACTCCACAATCCACTGTGTGGTTTTTTCATGTCATTTGACTGGGGAAAGTGCAGATTTCAAAAAAGAACGATAATGCATTTTTAAAAATCCCTCCTAAAACACACACTTCTCCCCTGTGGAGGAAAATGTGCACATTTCAAAGTGCCCTTTAAAAAAAATGCACATTTTTCAAATGTGAGCAGAAGTTCGGGATTTGCAAACATTTCTGAAGAATGTGCTGATCTGTTTGTGTTTGTGGTCATGGGTGTCAATTGGACATGTTTGCGTAATTTGCAAATGTAAACAACAGTCTTGTACATCTCTACTTAGGGGCTGCCGGGAAATATTAAGTACTCCATGGCTAAATGCAGTGTTTTCTCCCTTCCTCCTTCCCTCTCCCTCTCTCTTTCTCCCTCTCTGGTCATCTTGTTTCTGCCATGAAATCTTGTCATTTATTCCGTTCTAAGAAACTACAAGTTGGCGCATGCTGCTTAGCAAAGCAGTCGGACTTGGCTTCTATCCCAAAAAGTAATATTCTTTTGTGACGCTTTACATCTTGCCTTCATCTCTCTGTGTGGCTTGTTCCCCAGACGGGGTTTTGCTGTCTTGTTTGAGTGGGCTAAAATTAAAATTAGAAAGGTGGATTTGAGGAACCCTTGAGGAGTCCTCTCCTCTCCTCTAGCAAAGTTTTTGTCAGAAGAGACAACAGGATGGGTCAGATTTGGAGTTGCCTGGGGAACCAAGAAACTTGGACTCACCCTGTACCCAACGCTCCTACAAACCCAGAACGAATCTCATTAGATTATTCATCAGGTAACATTGACGGAAATCTGATGGAACATTGGAAACACTGAAATTTCACGAGCAGGCGGCCGATCTCATGGCATCTCCACGCATTTGTCTGTTTACAGCCAAATAATTTGGAGGGACCAAGCTATACTGAGAGGGCAAATTATTTTGGAGAAGCATGGGCGGGGGGAGGGGGGAATTAACTTTCTGCTCCCAGCACTCCCTCCACTCATAACACCAAGAGTTTTCCAGTCTACTTTTCAAAGAAGTTTGAAGTTTTATTCTGGGTGTAGTTTTCAACTAGAATTTTGAAAACTTTCAACCAGTGGACTGGAAGTTACAGCTCTCAGCCATTTTAAGACAGGTTTGTCATGCAAATATTGCCCTGCCTACTTCTGTTACTTCTGCTGTCCACACCCAATCAAATGTGTGTCTTTTACACTTATCCATCCCTGTTTTAAAGCTTTGCCCTTATAGCTAAAGAGTGTATTGATAGAAACACTGAAAGATGCCTTCAGCAGAGTCTTGGTCCACGCAGCCCGATAGTGTCGACACGGACTGGCAGCAAGGGCTTGCCGGGCTTCCGGGCACGTGTTTTCCAGCCCTACCTGGACATGCCAGAGATTGACCTGAGGACCTTCTACATGCAAGCATGAGCTCCGTCACTGTGCACACAGACTCACACGCTTTCTGTTCTGGCAGTGCGTCATCAAGTCATTGTGTGATGCACGCCTTCCCCTGCAGCATCTAGCTTGGGGAAAGCCAGTTATATTTTGTTTGCAAATTGTGCGTCACCTTGTTCCGATGGAAGAGAGCTGCTGTGTGGTTTGTTCACCCTTAATTGAGGTGTGTACCTTATTCGCTTTGGGGACAGGGAATAATGACCCTTTGTGCACCGACTTGATTTTCTGGCACCTCTGATAGAAATCTAGCTCCCCCATGAAGTGGTACATATAAGTATGTGTTTATTAAGAAAGCCATGTCAAGCCATCTAAAAGCTCATTTGCATGCCCAATATCCTCCTGCAAAGACTGGGCACATCCATACGATGTGTGTGTACATTTGAGGTTTAAATTCCATTTGCACTCATTTAGGCGACAGCGAGGACTGATTTAGGTTTGTCCATGCGCTGCATCCTTTTCTTACTCAATCTTCTGTGTCTTGCACAGGGAAGAAGAATGGAGATGTGGACAGAAACTTTGATACACTGGATTTGCCTAAGCGGTCTGAATCAGCAAAAGGTAATGCATCAGTGCTTGTAATTGCGTTTTTAAAAGATCAGCAAAGGGGAAGGCGTGCAGATTCCAAACAGGGTCTTGCAGAGGGAGTGAAAAATACACAGCATTTATCCCCAGATTTTATGCTTCCTTAAATTCACTCATGTGCTGCTTCTCTTCCCATGTATGTTGTTTTGTTTTCTGATTGAGTTGGCTAAAACGAAAGAGCTAATGAGGGCTCCGGTTGTATTTTGCAAACTATGTGCATTTTCCACACCATTTCCTATTACAGATCCAAGGATGATTAGCATATTTCCTAGCCTTTTGTGTGGGTCTTTCCTGCATGGCACAGTTTTCTGGCGTGATTTCATTCCAGGTGCCGTTTTCAGTCTATAGTTCACACCCTATTCTGCCACTCTCTGCCCCCCCCCCGTGCTCCATCAGCCATCATGGTCGATGTGTGCACGCTGCCTTGTTGAGCTACATGTGTCTGACAACTGTTGTTGATTTGTGCTTGTGAGAGCTGTTTTCTTTGAACGAAGAAGATTGTCAGTCCGCTTTACAGACATCTGCTGGCAAAATTTTGGCAAAAGGTTAATCTGTCAGTATAGGCACGAAGCTCCCCGAGGCCACTGTAATAGCACCTCTCAAGGTGTTCGGTCCCTACCCACTTTAAAACACCTTTTCTTACCGGCCCCTGTGAAATAGAGTTTTGTTTGTGCTGAAAACTGCAGATTCAAAGGAGTTATTCGGTGTGCTGGTGTGCAGGTCCTCCCACTCTCTTTTCTTCAGACATCTGGACAGGTTACGTCCTCTTTTCCACACCTCTCATGCCATCCATGTGGTGGGAACCATCTGGCAATTCTGAAATCCACACACTTGCCCACGAACTAAAGAGATCACCTCCCTTCCAGATTATTAGGTCTGACGGATAACACATTCAGGAAAGAACTTCGTAACAGAGCAAAACATCTTCCAGAGTGTATCTGAATACATGGTTGGAGCACACCCCTTCTCCTTAGACGCTCCTTTTCTTCTTCTCTGGTCCCATTGCTAAAGTAGCCGGTTTAAGTGGTTACGTGAGGTTCTAATAAGACTGCGGGAGTTTGGGATTACTCGGTGAGATCAGTGAAAGCAGCACAGTGGATCCTTAGTTGGCACAGGCCGGATCCACGACATGGCACTTTCATTGGTGCTGATGGGATCGGCTGTGACCAGGCAAGGCTTTTGTGATCAAGTGGATTCAGTCTGAGTTGCATAATGATTTGGGGTGTGTATTTGAAAGGGAAAAAACATTGATGCAGTACAGACTAAGCTCTTTCATATCAAAGCATACTTTGGGCTGATTATCCTTAAGCAAATGGAACTGAAGGAGCTGGTAAAAGTGCTTGTTTGAGACTGGAAATGGGCATTGCAGTGATTCTGTTTGAGTTTGCCCACCGTTTAAGATCTTTGAAGGGTGCTTTGCTCTGTATTCAGCCCTACTTCTGAAGCCTCTGTGAAAAGTCCCTTCCCTTCCCTTCCCTTCCGTCTATTCTTTCTAGTTAAATTGATGCCGAAGATGTATCCCCTGATGTTGACCTCGTGCTGCTATTCTTATTGATCTCAATGGATTGACTGATTGCCTTGATTCACTGCCCCTTTGCTGAATTTTTCCTCATCCGTCCTTCCATTTCTGATGTTTAAATGCAAGTGTATTTGCTTATGTAGGCAAGACAGCTCCAGGTACGTGTGCATGCACACCTGCACACACTATCACAAGATCATCTTGCCCCATCTGGCACTGAAAGCAGCAGAGTGTTGGCACCTGCCCGACCTCCCAAGTCAGGGAGGCCCACGGCAGTGCAGCACCCCACTGAAGTCTCTTCTCCAGCTGGATCATTGGTCCATGCCAACCCACCAGGAGAATGTCCTCTGATGACCTCAGCAACCAGGCAGGTTGGCAGTGCATTAACCGATAAAGCTCCACCTATTCTGGGGCCTCAGTATCCAAGGAATGGCCCTCCTCTTACTGGTTGAGATCATCACCCACTGTGAGATTGATTGATTGATTGATTGATTGATTGATTTTGGTGTGCATTCTGGGGTGGGATGAGGAGAAGTACATCATGGTGGAGGGTCTTCTGGGTTTTCAGATTTCAATCGGAGGAAGGAGACTTGTCCCAGCAGAGTGGGTGAATGTCTCCAAGGTCACGTCACTTTATCGCTGGAGAACTGAAGAACATCTGTGGCAACCCATCAATCGATATTCACGGGGCCACTCACTCTGTAACCATCAGAGTGTTCAGCTCCCCACTCAGCCATGAGGCGTTCTAGGAAACCCTCTGCCATTAACTTACGATAAGCATTTATAATGCTCCTTAGTTATACATCCAGGGCCCTTCACAAAATCATTCTGACGGAGGGGGAAGGCCCTGCCTGGAGGCATTAGCGGAGAAACATGTGAGGAAAGCACCGTGTGCGTCTTTTGCATGCAGCCTTCACGCCTAACCCCTTCCGTGTATGTCCTGTAACAATCACCCATCGTCCCCCATGGCACAAAACCAGTGAATGGGCTAGAGATGCAGAACCTCTTCTGAAATAAATCACACATAGCCAGAACCTCTGGAGATAGGGCTGGGTGTGGTGTAAACACTGTGTAAACCACCACAGAGAGAGGCAGAGAGTCCACAATCAGGCTTCTAATTACGGGCTTTCCATTGTTCAGTGGATTCCTGTTTTTGAACCACGGCTTGGCCATCACCTAGGCAACTCCGCCGTTCCCATTCCTTCCTCATGCCCTCTCTCCGCTCCTCGCCCTTCAAGTTAGTCAAGGATGGTTTCCCTTAAGTGATTAAGAAAAGAGTCAAATTTATGAGCACAGGTTAGCACTGTGGCTCCCAGCTTTGCCTGCCTACGAAACTGGTACTGCCCCGATGCTTTACTGCAAACTGAATACCGAATAAGGTCCATCCCATCATCAAACTCAGGTGGAAGGATCTGTGGAAGCCATTGATGCTTGAACGTCCTTCTTTTCAACCGTCTCTTTCTTGGTCATGATCTCCTGATAAAATCCTCATGTAACAGAGGAAGTAGCTAAGCTACTTTGATCTTCTCATCATGGTCACCTTGGAGAGCTGGAAGCAGTGTGCATCCTCCCCTCCCCCCCCCACAACCCCTGCAACTCTGGAAAGTCAAACTGTTCTCCATGGGACTGGATCACAATGGCCTTTTGTCTAATAGGCAGTGAGACGGGCTGTTCAAACAGTTCTGGGCTTAATGCGCCGTTTGTTCCCGGCATTGAGCTTGAAACAAACCACAAAATGAACTTTGTGACTTGGAAAAAGAGGCAGAGGAGGAAAGAGCTGGGCTGCTGCCTGACACTCTGAAAGCACACAGCACTCCGGGATATTTCAGGGGTGTTGTGTCTTGCATTCATGAGCAATCTCTTGGACCGTAGCAACTAGAAGGGTGAGCCCAGCTACTGCAGTCCCAGTTCCTCTGTGCTGTGGGCGATTTTGCCAAACGGGAGAGAAAGATGTGGAAGTTGCCACCACCTGTGCATGTGCTCAGCCTCCCCCTCCAGACGCCAGCCTCCCTGTTCCGGCCCCCACCCAGAGCTGCAGCTCCGATCCTGACTCTGACCTAGACAAGGAGAAGCCAGCTGGATGGCGTGGACCAGTAGGACTGAAGATGGAGGAGCTGGGTGCCTCCCAGCCAGGGGCTCCTTGAGGTACAGCCTCCCTCCCCAGACTGGGATCTCCAGAGGCTGAACCCGCGTGCACCAAGGAGATGGCTTCCTCCTCCCAGGGGCCCCAACCCCTGAGGCTGGATAGAACCTAATGGGGCAGAGGTGAAGGACTCCAGGCTGAGGGCAACTTTCCTTTCCCCCAAGAGGAGGCAGAGCTTTTATCATCTGGCCTGAGGAGAGTGACGCCTCAGACCAGCCCCAGCCTTCTCCAGGCCAAGATGCTCCTCCAGAGCTGTCCCAGGTTCTGCCTAGCATCATCATCTCTCGAGGCCATGACTGGGCACCTGGTGACCCTCCAGATGTTTTGGCCTGCCACTTCTCATCCTTCACCTCTGGCTCTGTGGACCGGGGCTGATGAGAGCTCTAGGCCAAAATATCTCGAGGGCCACAAGGTGTTTACTCCAACCTAAGAGCTTCCATTCATGTTCAGGGTGGGTCGCTCTTGAGTCAACATCTCTTTGGATCTTCCTACCGAACTGTCTCCCACCTTCCTCCACCCACGTCCACAGCTAGGCAGCCAAGCTTCTGGTGGAGAGTGTAGGCCCTTCAGGTGGGCGTCAGACCTGGTTCCTTCCTTTTCAAAAACTAGATGAAGGCCCTGGCAGTTCCGTAGGAAGGCTGCTTACTCATGCGTGTGCTGTGGATAAGTGACATCCTGTCTCGAGACACTGACCCACATAAAATAACACAATCCCCTCCGTGACAGGGTCTTGAAGGCTCCTGTCATGGCAGGAAGCGTGTGAGGAAGCAGCCGTCCTTTCTCCTCAGAGCAAGTGACAGATCTCTCACAGGGAGCGGGTGGCTGGAACTGGCGCATGCGAGCACAGGTCAGTGGCTGCCAGAGCTGAAACATCTGACAAATACCGTGGCCAGGGTCCTTGCGCGGAGAAGTGACTGCCGGTGGAATGAGGTGTCATCCAGAAAAAGTGTATTTAAGGCTCTGCAGGTTAATTTGTATATGGGGAAATGCCCTGATGGTTAATTCTAAGTCAGGGGAAGCTGGCACGGATAAATACACTTGGAGCACAAGGCATTTTCCGCCACCTGAATGTCACAAGGTGTTTTTGCGGGCTGGTGCCACTGTTAAGACGGGCCCACTTTGGAGATGGAGGCCCCACTTCTCTATGGGGGTGCAGAAAGAGATGTCCTCCCACAAAAGCCAGTGTGGAGTAGTGGGTAACAGCACTGGGCTGGGACTCGGGCGGGCCGGGTTCCAGTCCCTGGTCAGCCATGGAGCCGACTGGGTGACTATGGGCCAGCCTCAGACTCTCAGCCCAACCTCCCTCACAGGACT